CGCCATCAACAAATCATCAAACAACAAGTGTTGGCGAGGGTGTGGAGAAAAGGGGACTCTAATACACTGCTGGTGGGAATGGAGACTGGTGCAGCCGCTATGGAAAACAATATGGTTCTACCTCAAAAAATTAAAAATTGAACTTCCATTTGACCCAGTGATCCCACTGCTGGGAATATACCCTAAGAAGCCTGAAACACCAATCAGGAAGAATATATGTACCCCCATGTTCATAGCAGCACTATTTACAATAGCTAAGATCTGGAAACAGCACAAGTGTCCACCAGTAGATGAATGGATAAAAAAGCTGTGGTACATATACACAATGGAGTACTATGCAGCGGTAAGAAAGAAAGATCTCTTATCCTTTGAGACGACATGGAGGGACCTGGAAAGTATTATCCTAAGTGAAAGAAGCCAAGCAGAAAAAGACAAGTACCACATGATCTCACTCATGTATGGAATATAATGAACATAACAGTCTGAGGAATACAGTAGACCCAGAAACATGGAAGTAGGGCACAGACTGACATTCCTCAGAAGAGGGGGTGGGAGGGTGGGGGGTGGGAAGAGATAAACCACAGAACTTATATGCATGTATGCATGACCAATGGACATGGACAACTAAGCCGGGGATGGGGCAGAGGTGGGGTGGTGTGAGGGGTGCCAATGGGGTAAAAAGGTAAAATATCTGTAACAAAAAAATAAATAAAAATATGCATAAAAAAAAAAAAAAAGAATGACTCAGTGGACTTCCAGTCAAGATGGTGGTATAGGTAAACAGTATCGCATCCTCCCACAACCACATCAAAGTTTCAACTAAACTACAGAACAACCATCATTTAAAACTGCCTGAAATCCAGCTGAAGTCCTACAACTATGGATTTAAAGCAGCAGCTGCATCGAGACTGGTAGGAAGGTAGAGGTGGACTGGCTGGTCCCACACCCACATGTGGCGGATAAAAATCAGGAGGATACCTTGGCTGGGAAGGTCCTCCCTGAGGACTGAGGGGTCCCCGTCCCACACCAGGCATCCCGCTCACGGTTCCAGTGCCAGGAAGAGAAGTCCCCGTAACTTCTGGCTGGAAAAACCAGTGGGAACTGAGGCTCAGGGAAGCTGAGGTGGCTGGAACCCTAGGCAGCTCCTTAAAGGGCCCGCACACGAACTTATCGGACTTACTTCCTCTAAGATTGGAGGGGAGGCAGCTCTAGGGGTGCCAGAGACATACAGGGAAGAACTGAGCTGTTTGGCATTGGAGCAAGGGCTGGAGAGGCAGCCTTCTCCAGTCCAGATGTGCTGTCAGTGGCCTTTGTGCCTTTGGTGAGCCCTTCCCTGGGGCGGCAGACAGCCACCATATCTGGGACTCCAGCAACCTGGCTCACACTGGTTGCCCCGCCCTGGTGATTCCCTGAGGCCCCGCCTCATCCAATTTCAGGCCTACCCAAGCTGTTGCCAGTTGCTTAACCATTGGATTGGCCTGTCTTGGATCTTGCTTCAGGTTTTTCTAAATTCTTTCAAACAAGCAGCATCTGGTCTCAGATAGCCCCATACCTCTCGTTAAGTAATACACAGAAACAAACACAGAGAGGCAGCCAAAATGAGGAGACAAAGAAACAGGTCCCAAATGAAAGAACAAAAAAAAACCCCAGGAAAAGATCTAAGCGAAATGGAGATAAGCAACCTAACAGATACTGAGTTCAAAATACTGCTTATAAGGATGCTCAATAAACTTACTTAGGGCCTCAAGAGCATTAGAAAAGACCAGTCAAAAATGAAGGAGGCACAGTCAGAAACGAAGGAGGCACTAACTGAAATAAAGAATAATTTATACAGATTCAATAGTAGAGTAGGTAAAGCCAAGAAGCAAACCATTGACTTGGAATATAAGGAAGCAAAAAGCACCCAATCAGAACAGCAAAAAGAAAACAGAATCCAAAAAAATGAGCATAGTGTAAGGAGCCTCTGGAACAACTTCAAGTGTGCCAACATTTGCATCTTGGGGGTGCCAGAAGGAGAAGAGAGAGAACAAGAAGTCGAAAACCTATTTGAAACAACAATGGCAGAAAACTTCCTTAACTTGGTGAAGGAAACAGACATACAAGTCCAGGAAGCACAGAGAGTCCCAAACAAGATGAACCCCAAGAGGCCCACACCAAGACACATCATCATCAAAATGCAAAAGGTTCAAGACAAAGAGAGAATCTCAAAAGCAGCAAGAGAAAAGCGGTTAGTCACTTACAAGGGAGTTCCCATAAGTCTGTCAGCTGACTTCTCAAAAGAAACTTTTCAGGCCAGAAGGGAGTGGCAAGAAATATTTAGAGTGATGAAAAGCAAGAACCTACAACCAAGATTATTCTATCCTGCGAAGCTGTCATTTAGAATCGATGGACATATAAAGAGTTTCCCAGACAAGAAAAAGTTAAAGGAGTTCATCACCACCAAACCGTTACTATATAAAATGCTGAAGGGTCTTCTTGAAGAAAAAGATAAAATGTATGAACAAACAAAACGGCAATGAATACATATCTATCAACAATGGAATCTACAAACAAAATGAACAGGTAGAACAGAAACATTCTCATAGATACAGAGAACATTTTGCTGGTTGCCAGATGGGAGGGAGGTAGGGGGAAAGGGTGAAAAGGGTGAAGGCATTAAGAAGAACAAATTGGTTGATAGACTGACAAACCTCAAAGAGAAGGGGGTTGGGGTGGGAAGAAATAAACCAAAGAATTTATATGCATATATGCATAACCAGTGGACACAGACAACAGTGTGGGAAAAGGTGGGAGGGAGGTGGGAGTGGAGAGAAGGGGGTCAATGGGGGAAAAATGAGGAACATCTGTAATACATTCAACAATAAAGAAAAAAAAGGAAAAATAAATAAATAAAAAATAATAATAAAAAAAGAATGACTCACTGCCCTGGCCAATTTTACTCAGTGATTAGAGCATTGGCCCACGGACCAGAGAGTCCCGGGTTCAGTTCCTGCTAAGGGCACGTACCTCGGTTGCAGTTTGTCCCCGGCCCCAGTTGGGGTTGTATGGGTGGCAACCGCTCGATGTGTCTCTCTCACATAGGTGTTTCTCTCTCTCTTTTCCCCTCTCCCTCCCGCTCTATCTGAAGATAAATGCAAAAATGTCCTCGGGTGAGGATAAAAAAAAAAAGAAAAAGAATGACTCAGAAAAACACATGCTTTGCTTTGGAATGTATAAGCTTGTATGGGTTTTCTAGATACTTAATTTCCCATTGGCATCTGAAAAATTAGGTGATACTGAGCTTCATCTTGAATGTGGAAAGGACAAATAAAAAATTCAGATTCTATAAAGCTATAGAAGATATTGTTTAAAACAAGCAAATGAAATGTTTTGAAGAACTTTAATTCTACTTTTTTGATAAAGTTAACAGTTGATTTGCCTGATACTCAGAGCTTACTTTTGCTTTAGAAAAGCACTGTTATTTCAGTATTTGTTCATGGCATAATGCCAGTAAATTAACCTTTCATCTGTCTTATCAGCTGAATTGCTAGAATTTGTTGCTAGTTGACACTGGGTTAAACTACAAACCATAAAGCTGCACAGTATTTAATGTATAAGTGAACAGTGCTTTCTGTCTCACTTATTTGCACATGCTGAAATATTTTTTCTAAGTTGTTATAATATCCCTTCGTGGACACTAATAACTAATAGAGCATACACAGAAAAAAAACAAAACAAAACAAAACAAAAACACAGGATCTTTTCAAAGGATTTCTTTATCTGAAGCACATTAAACATTTGTAGCCTCTATCCTACCTTATTTTCAGTGGGTCTCCAGCTAGTTATATCATGACCATTTTATGTGATCATCAACAATTACATTTAAAGTACACACACAGAGTTACGTTGCAGAACAACTTAAATGTTTTTAACAAGTCCTGTTTGGGGGATTATGAGAGCAAATTATCAAACTCTCAATCAGAACATAGTAAAGCCAGTTAAAAGACAGGTTTTTGGTAGCCTCTATAAACTTGAGAAATGCAGGTGCATCTTAACTGCATAAGAATCTGTCATGTCAGGCTCTGGAATTTTCTGTGCAGTGGACCCCAGAATGAATTTCTGCCCCCAAACAGATAAAAATAAGCATTCTTTTTAGTTTAAATTGGGTTGTTGCCTTGTCTTGTATTGCAACAGTGAATCTTAGTATTTGCTAACTTTTACTATGCACAATTCTGCACTGAAAAATACCCATTTTATTGACAATGCTTGTACTATGTTGCACTGTCAGTATTTAAATGTTTCTTGTCTTAAATAGGATATAGTTTTTTCTTTTTCAAATCTAGAGTTTAAATCAGAAACATTGTACTATATTTGCTAATTTTATTTTATGTTTTTCTTTCAGGTTTCTGAGAAGTGTCTTTTCTGAAAACTCTGCTGCTTTGATTCCACTCTAGAGCTGCCACTTTATAAGCTCCTTTCTGTACGACCACCACCCCAAAACCTGGTGTGCTTGTAGTTCACCTTCAGCAACTTGTTCATTCTTTTTATTTCTTTCTCAGTTTTTCATAGTCAATTTCCCACATCCTGATTTTACAGCAAAATTTTTTTTGCAGTTGTAACATCCTTATCATTCTTAATCTTTAAAGTCAAGAAATAGGGAGAAAAAACTTGTCTCGCTATGAACTAAGACCATTCCACAAACTGAAAGGCAGCCAACAGCATATGCTTTTTGTCAGAATACTTGAAAACATCAACTGGAGAGCACATAATTCTTTTGAAAGTCCATCAATTATATGAAGTAACTTTGGCAGAAGAACAAAATAAAGCACTCAATATTTTAAGGTTTACGGTTGCCTGCTTATGAGTTGGTCTTTAATTTGATTTTTAGTTATTCTGATACAATTTTTATTGTATAATTGGCTTTTTGTTTGACTAGACCTAACTTGACTTAAATGAAAACCTGAGTGCTAATGAAGAAACATTTCACCAAAGCAACCTGTGATCTCTTTACATTTAGCTTGAATTCATTTTTAATCTTTTAACATCAGTAATACTGTCCTAGAGAGGGTGCACTTGGTTTTAATTTTGCTTTCAATATGACGGCTGTCAATGTTATGCTGGTTCGTGATACCAAGTGGCTGACTTTAGAAGTGTGTAGAGAATTTCAAAGAGGAACCTGTTCTCGAGCTGATGCAGACTGCAAGTTTGCCCATCCACCAAAAGTTTGCCATATGCAAAATGGTCGTGTGGTGGCCTGTTTTGATTTTTTAAAGGTGAGTGTCGTCTAAATGTGCATAATGTTTAAATTAAATCTGTTGATTTCTATTTTTTTTAATATGATGTGCTTTGAAATTGGTAAAGTTAATAATAGCATAAAATCAGTTTAGCTTTTTGTTTGTTTGTTTTTTAAGGCAGGATATAGACCTTGTATTTGTACAACTAAGCCAGACTAAAGTTCACCCCATCAAAGTCACTGATCAGGAGTGATAGACTTAAAGAAAAAAAACCCTCAAAACTCAAGAATTTTTGTAAGGATGAGAAATGTCAGGCTTGCCATATTTCTTTGTGTACGATTTAGGTTTTGAATACAGTGATCATAATCCTCATATAACCTAGAGAAGTCCTTTACTGAATTATGTTATCAAAATACACTTGAGGGACCAGTCAACTTTCTAAGAATCAAGTCAGACCTAGAGAGTATAAGGAGAAAATCTCACTACCCAGAAAGAAAATGATGGCATTTTGAGATTTCTTAGTCAAAGTATATTTTGAATGTTTAACTGAAACATATCACTGTAAAATTAGGTCCTCTCTTTTTTTTCTTCCTGAACTGCTTTTTGACCAATTTCAGATTTCTCAATACATTTTATAAAGAAAGCCCTATCGCCAAGATCAACATACCAAAACAATATGTACTAGAGAATAAACAAAACATGAATGCAAATAAGGTATTTTGTAGAATAGAACATATATAATTGCAGAACAAGAAAATGCACTGATTTTAATGTTCTATTCATAGCTATCCTTAAATTAAGGATAAAGATGTATCAATTAAAGCAGAGACATAAAAAAGCAATAAATCCCTGGTTTAACTAAGATTTGCTAGAATTCATTAAAGATATTTTTTCAAAACATATTAAAATGAATTAAGCTTAACATAAACTTTCTAATTTCTTGACATTATTTTATACTTATCATGACAAATTTTACCTCATTAACATTTTTATTTATTTATTGGCTAATAGAGATGTATTTCTTTGTGTAGTCTTTTCTTCAGAAAATGTTTATCAAGTGATATACTATTAAGTAGTTACTTTTACTTATTTACTTGTTTACTAGTCTTTGTTACAAACCATTCCAGTTCAAGAATAGAAACGTGTTGCCATAAATATAGTGGTAATTTCTACCATTAAAAATGTCTGGATTGCTCTTATTTGCAGTAACTATTATGACTAAAGGGCTTATTCTGTTTTCTTTATTTTGATATCATTCAAGTTTCCTCTATAATTATTTTATGTATTATTTAAGTCTACTGCTTCAAAACTGGGCAGTGCCATGAAGTGGAAAGGAGCACTGGATTAGTTGGGAGAAAATATGTCTTTCATCCAGTCCATACAAAAGATCTGGCACTGTGCTAGGCACTTTACATATTTTTTTTCCAGGAGATCTGGGGTACAGTCCCAGCCCCACTATTGACTTTAGCTACTTAATCTGACACAACTTGAGTTCTTTCATTTCTAACAGATGGGCACTCTTCTTTACTTATCCTCCACGATTATTGTGGAGACTCCAGTAAGATAAGATAAATGAAAAACCATCTATTACTATAAAAGTGAATTAAGTGAGAGGTTTTCTTATTATTAGCTAAGATATTTTTAGGAGTCTTCAAAAGCAGTTCTATTAAGTTAGAGTTTATTATTTAAAACTACATACACATGTTTCAAATGTATATGCCCAAATCTAGTTGCCTGAGTGCCATGTTACTTCTTCAAACTTAGTATAACTGTTTTTATGGTCTACTCTTTGATACAGAGTTCCTTCCAGGCTTTGTAATGTCTATCTTCCCAGGCAACTGGTGGAAGGAGACATGAGATATTCCTAATCGTTGTTATAGTTCAGATCAGTTCTTCTACTTAAAGACAATAGAATGCCATAAAGGAAACATTTTGAGGAAAGTAATATGGAAAGTGATTATTAACAAAATGCATACTGCATTATCACATTAAAACATCGAAAATTCAGAAACTACATAGATAATGGCCAATAAATATTGAAGAGCCACTTAGTTATTTAAATATACTATCTATTCACTGCATTGAGAGTTTAAAAAATAATTTTGCATTTTGTTAATACCTAATGACCAGTCACACAGGATATAGATGGTTTACATCATCATTACCTTCTCAAATTTTAAGAGAACCTTAATGTTTCAAATATACAATGGCTTTCAAAAAATTACTTTGCTATTTAGACAGTACATTTGTCAGAGTTTCATGTCTGTACAAAATATTTATAGTTCTATTCTTTCGTATTATGCCTTATTCATGGTATGCTTGAAATGTATGCTAAGTTGAGGTTAACTGACCGATGTGGATTGTACTATCATATCTATAATACATAAATAACACACCTTAATGGTTATTGCAAACTCCTTGAGTTCGTATAATTGGAATACCTTTGAAATACATCTGTACACTGTTTTGCCTTTTATGAGTGGTTAAATAACTAAAGCAATCATTTGAGGAGTTTTGGGTTATTTTATTTTATTTTATTCTAAGGACTCCTCTAACACTAGGTACTCTACCAGATGATGGTGGGTTTTTGCCTTCATAATAGGCACAATAAATATAATGTCGTATATTGACTCCATAATGAGAGAATATTATGAAAATAAGGAGGGCAAACTTGATGGCTAATTGTGCACTGTGCTGAAGTGCTATGCCTATGACTCTGTGAATGTTGAGTGTTCAATGATGAAGGATGCCCTATCTTCAGATGGAGCCCTAGAGTGTACAACCCATTAATTAATTTCCAACTACATAAAAGAGTATGGTGTTATGTTGATATGCAGCTGATTTTTACTCAGTTGCCTAGTCTTCCTGACACAATTTATTTAAAAATTTTACTCCAAAATATTGTTTTACCCATTCTGCACCAAATTTTTGATATTACAGTTTACCATTTATTTGAGTTGGTATTTTCAGTGAATTTCCTTGGTTGTTAATGAAGCATCATCACTAAAAATACAAACATAAAATCTTTGAGAGTATTTTCATAGCCAAGAACATTATCTTCATGTATTCTGCTTCAGCAATGTCATCTTGAACCTTTGCTTCCACACCTGAAGCAGCGTGTTATCACCTGTTTTCCAGAAAGAATATAAATACTGTCATTATTTCATTATGACATATCAACACCAATCACACCTGTCCAACCCACTCATCACTTGGGGTAGTTTTGTAACAAAAAGTTTTTGGGAAAGGCCTTAACAGTAGACATAATCAGAGAAAAGTCATGTCAACGCATATACATTCCTAAAATGTTTAAATTGGGTGAGGAATGCATATAAAATAGCACTACACTATTTTCAAACATCTCATATGATCACAAACATAATATTTTCACAAGTGAAACCTTTTCTACAGACCCACAAATGTGAATCTATCCTTGTAGGTCAAATTGTCCTCAGTTACCAGTATATTTTGTACTAGTATCACTAGTCACAGAAATTTTCACTAGGCTTAAATTTGATCATTTTTTTACTGAATATTTACCTCTTCACTGTTTGCTAAGGGAAAATTTACCAGGAGCAGAAGACTCCTAGAAACATAATCCCAAGGGTTGCTAGATTATGAAAAATTTTATAACCATTTTTTAGCCTTATCAGAAGGGTCTGCTGCACTATAAAGACATAAAAGTAGCACTTGTCATTCTTAAACTCAAGGAAAATAACATTAACTTAACGATCTCCATTTTTTTTTTTTATACTGACCTTAAAAAGTAATTATCTTTGGTGAAAATCAATGTTACTCTGGCCATTTCAAACACCACTTGAACGTCTCATGGACAGAGACAATAGTATGGTGATTGCCAGATAGGAGGGGCGTGGGAGAGGTAGAAGAAGGGAAAGGGGGATAAATGATGATGGAAGGACACTTGACTTGGGATGGTAAACATACAATACAATGTGCAGATGATGTGTTATAGAATTGCATAACTGAAACCTGTATGCTTGTATTAGCCAATGTCTCCTCAATAAATTCAAATAAAAAATTTGATAAAACACTTTTGAAAGTAAAACAGAATTGCAGTTACTACTTAAATATATATTGATAGCTCAGCCACGCTTTTTATTAATCTATTTTGCTACAGATGTTTCTCCTTTTTCCCCCATTGACACCCTTCTCAAGATCCTTCCCACCCCATCCCCAGCTTTGTTGTCCATGTCCATCGGTTATATATATATATGCATATAAGTTCTGTATCTCTACCCTCCCACCCCCTCTTCTGAGGATTGTCAGTCTGTACCCCACTTCCACGTCTCTGGGTCTACCCTGTTCCTCAGACGGTTATGTTCATTATATTTCACAAATAAGTGAGACCACGTGATATTTGCCTTTCTCTATTTGGCTTGTTTCGCTTAGGATAATACTCTTCAGGTACCTCCATGTCGTCTCAAAGGATAAGAGATCTTTCTTTCTAACAGCTGCATAGTACTCCATTGTGTATATGTACTACAGCTTTTTTATCCATTTGTCTACTGATGGACACTTAAGCTGTTTCCAGATCTTACTATTGTAAATAGTGCTTCTATGTACATGGGGGTACATATATTCTTTCTAATGGGTGTTTCAGGTTTCTTAGGGTGTTTTCCTAGAAGTGAGATGACTGGGTCAATGGGAATTCAATTTTTAATTTTTTGAGGTAACACCATAGTGTTTTCCATAGTGGCTGCACCAGTCTGGATTCTCACCAGCAGTGTACTAGAGTCCCCTTTTCTCCACATCCTCGCCAGCACTTGTTGTTTGATGATTTGTTGATGGTAGCCATTCTGACAGGTGTGAGGTGATACCTCATTGCTGTTTTAATTTGCATCTCTCTGATGATTAGTGATGCTGAGCATTTCTTCATACGTCTCTTGGCCATTTGTATGTCCTCTTTGGAGAGGTGTCTATTTAGTTCCTCTGCACAATTTTTAATTGGGTTCTTTGTATTCCTTTTGGTGAGTTGTATGAGTACTCTATATATTTTGGAAAGTAACTCCTTATCTGAT